GACTGAAGTGGCATCACAAATCGCCGAGGGGAAGATCACTCCTGATAAATGGAAACGACTTACATGTTCACCAATGGGATCAACTGTGACTTTGTATGTGTGTGCATAAATATTAACTAAGATGAATGAACTAGAGCCTCATGTTAGTCATATAAATTTCAAAAATATAATTACTGAGCAAAAAATAAGAAAGTTATAGAATGACTTTCTGTGAAATAGTTACATGAAATTTAAAAACAGGTAAACCATATCTACAAAAACCTGTATGGGCCAATAAACATCAAATTGTACCTCTGGGGAGGGAGGGGAATAGGGTTGGGGAGGGATAGCTAGGAAACTTCAACTTCGTAATGTTTTGTTTAAAAAAAGAAATCTAAAGGAAAAAAAAACCCCAAAGAAATTCATACACTACTCAGGGAAGAATGCACATTTTTAAAATTACATATTTGAGTGTGCACACATGTACAGAAAAAAGACGGAAGAATATATATTAAAATGTTAGTGGCATTACAAGTGATTTTTATTTTATTTCTTACAATTCCTTATATTCTGATTTTTTAGTTTTACAAGAGTATGTGTTTACGCTGGTGTACAGGAAAAAGACCAGGAAGGAAGGAAAGATGGTGTACAGAAAGTTATCACAGACCTGACTGTTTCTTAGGAACGTTGACCTGTAAGGTTGGCCTGTGGCTGGGGTCTGGCAACTTCAGTTTTGAGAGGGCTTCCTATTGGCCCACCCTTAACCCTCTTAGAGATAGGAGTGGGCCACTATGCCTAAGCTATTTGTGCAAACAATATGGTTTATGGTGAACACCTGCCGTGCTGCTAGAGGGCCTGGAATTTTGGTATGTGTTGGGCAGACGGCCTGCCGCTGAAACACTTGGGCTCTGAGTCTAATGAGCTTCCTTGGGCTGACACATCACACACGTCGCTGTATTTTCTTTGCCAAAGGAGGATGTGCTGTGTGTGGCCCTCATGGGAGAGAGCATGAGGAGGACTTCACAGAAATTCCTCCAGACTCCGCCTGTCTTTCCCCCTGACAATCTGCCTGTGTAACCTTGCAAGACTGCTGTCATCATCTTAGCCAAGAGGACAACTAGAGGCTGTGTCCTGAGTCCTTCTAGCACATCCCTGAACAAAGGGTGATCTCCAGCACCCCGACACAGGTGGCCACACCACTCCGGGCAGCTGTGGCAGAACGGGATTAGAAGAAGTGAGTAGACCAGTGAGGAGGCGGTTACAACTTAACAGGAGAAGGGAAACCACTGTTGAACTATTAAGAAGAGACAACAGGCCGACTGGAAGTGGAGATGGGATGGGATGGGAGAGGCAAGGATGACTCCCAGACCCTGATGTGTCAGTATTGGTACCATCCATGGAGATGAGCAACAGAAAAGTAGGTCTGGAGGGAAAGCTAAGAAGTGCAGTTTTGGACATTTAGAATTTGAGCTGCTCCCACATCGCTGGACAGTTAAAAACCAGGTGACTCTGGCTCCCGCTGGCCAAGTTGTACAAATTATTATTGCCAAATGAAATCACTTGAATTTTGAAAAAACTATGTGTTTTATAGTCAAAATAGAAAAGCTAATATGAAGTATTTTTAAATGGTTGTAATACAAAGAAGGCAATGTTTAAGCCTTCAGTTAAGTAATTTGGTTTTTTTTCTATTAATTGTATGACCATTCATAAAATACAGATGTACCCTCGAGATATACACTTGTATCCATTCATATGAGCATGAAAAAAGAAAACTAGGCAAAGAGGATAAGCCAAGTAACCCCAGAAGCAGGAACACTATACCCCAAACAGGAAGGACTAATTAGCAAAGCACCCAGGTAGACAGAACATGGGCTCCTCATAATGAACCAACCTCAGATTCTCAAGAGGCAAGGTAACTGCAGACTTAATCCTTCCTCCCTTAGGAGATGAGCCCTCCAGCTGGCCTTATTAATTATAAGATACTAATAAGGTACAGTTAAACGTTTTCAAAAGTGCCGGAAGACTAGATCAATATATATTTACTAGACAATGGGTTAACACTGGCCAAGCAAACTTTAAAAGAATATTACCTTGAGGATGAACATCAGTTAAACTAAAACCTACGTGAAAGGCAAAAACAAAACAAACAAACAGAAAAACCCACCAAAAATCTTGCTGGAAAAACAAGTTTGGTATAACTATAAAAAGTATCTCAACCTGAGGAGAGATTGGGGTTTTACATGTTGCTTGGAGGCAGAAAGTGATACATGTGCACGTGGAAACAAATATGTAACATCAGTTGGCAACTGAAGCCTGCAAGTTATGTCCTCCAAGACAGTATATATTTTGTTGTTGTTGTTCGAGGAGGCACTGGGGATGGAACGCAGGACCTCATGCATGCTAAGCATACATTCTACCACTGAGCTATATACTCCATCACCCTGACAGTATGCATTATCCTTGTTGGTCTTCCATCCTCAAGAGGGTCTCAGAATATTACCCTTAGGTCCTACATAGATGCCAAAATTAGTACTTAGAGATACAGGACAGTATAGGAGCATAGGCTCTGGCAGACTGCCTGAAATCAGTCTGGCTCTGCCTATTCCTTCCTGTGTGACCTTAGGCAAGTTTCTTAACCTCTCAGTTTGCCCATCTGTAAAACTGGGATAATGAAAGTAGGTATCTCATACAGTTATTGTGTTGCTTAAATAGGATAATATGTGTAAGGCATTTAGAATAATGTGCTAAGTAAGTGTTAACATTAGCTAAAAATCTTGTTATAACCCTAGGAAGATAGAAATAATGAAAATATTAATTACACTGTGCTGTCGTTGTTTTAGAGTAGGTTTAAATGTAAGTGTAGCCATAATATTGGAATCAAAGTATTTGCGTATGTTTTTCTAAAGTGTTAGAGCTTTTTGAACAAATCAGTTGAACTACATCTGAAATTGTAGTCAAAACTGCTCAATGTTTAAAGCTTAAAGACAATTTTCAAAGTTTCAGTTATTAGACTATGAGTTTAATACCTTGAGTATTAAACAAATTACAAATGGAGGTGAGCATAAAAGCTTCCCAGCCATTAAG